AAAGATTGGCATATTTACAGAACTAAAAGGAAATAGCTCTCGATGTACAAGGTAGTGAGTTGAAAAGGGGAAAGGTGAGCCTGGGGAGTAGGAAGGGACCAAATGGTACAGGGCTTGATGGGGTTGGATTTAATACTAGACATGATTATGTGGGAAACCTTTGAACAGTTTTAAGCAAATCAGTGGTGGGATTTGATTTCCATTTTAGAAAGATGCCTTTGGATACTGGATAGAAAGTTAAACTGAAGGTCAGAGAGCTTGCCAGTCAGAGATGGCACTTTAACCCATGGCTGCTTATTCCCAGTCCGTCTGATTTACCAGGGTATCCCTTCTAGTTCCTAAGAGCCAACCTGAATTAAGTAAAAAGTGCAAAATAGCACCGGGCCCGTGTCCAAATGGCTTTCTTATGCCTGCTCAATTTGACAGTGAAAGAAAAAGACACATCAGGCTCACATCTCTAACCAGTTGAGCACCTACAAAATAATTAAGAGCTGTCAGCGCTATAGTTTCTCTCTCAAATAAAAACTCCCTTTATTATCTAAAATACACTATTGGGGGCTTCCCTGGTGGCGCAGTGGCTGAGAGTCTGCCTGCCGATGCAGGGGACACGGGTTCGTGCCCCGGTCCGGGAAGATCCCACATGCCGCGGAGCGGCTGGGCCCGTGAGCCATGGCCGCTGAGCCTGCGCGTCCAGAGCCTGTGCTCTGCAACAGGAGAGGCCACAACAGTGAGAGGCCCGCGTACCGCAAAAAAAATAAAATAAAATAAAGTACACTATTGTTTGACCTTACGCACAGTTCTGAGTGCTGTAATTACCGTCGACTCTACCTTCCAAGCTGTAGCTTGTGTCTCTGCCATTTTCCAGGTAGACCAGCCTGTGGGGTGAATGGTAAAGCCCATGACATTGGACTCCCAGCTGGTGTGTGCCAGTTTTAGCAGTTCAGCAGTTTGTTTTTTCTCACAAGATTAAATGCTCACTTTAGCCTTATGTCTTATTTCAATTTTGAAATTGTTCCTTAAGGAGTCAAGTGTCTCCTTAATTGTATTTATTTACACTGTATATTTACAAACTGATGCAACTGATTATTCTGATTGAGAACTATCAACCTATTTATATATTTATTCTTCCTCTCAAGAAGTACTCAGTTCGTTTTTTATCTATTCAGTGCCAATTCATTCAGCATGTATCTATGGACATGTAGAAACACTACAGTGTTCTGGAAAGAGCCAGGACTTTGGAGGCAGACACCTAGGTCAAATCATGACTCTGCCCTTATGACTCTGAGCAAGTTAGTTCTTTATCTGTAAAATGGGTATAAGAGCAAACTCATAGAGTCTTTATAAAACATCAAACTGTGTATAAAACTAGTTTGTGTGATGCTCGATAAATTTGCACTATTATCAAATCAACTTTATTGAGGAATAATTGACATCTAATAAACTTCACATGTTTAGCATATACAGTTGATATGTTTTGACATGTATAGTCCCGTGAAATCATCCGACAAGCAGGCTTTTTCTCTCTCCATTTACCTTTTTTTTTTTTTTTTTTTGCGGTACGCAGGCCTCTCACTGTTGTGGCCTCTCCCGTTACGGAGCACAGGCTCTGGACGCGCAGGCTCAGCGGCCATGGCTCACGGGCCCAGCTGCTCCGCGGCATGTGGGATCTTCCCAGACCGGGGCACGAACCCGTGTCCCCTGCATCGGCAGGGGGACTCTCATCCACTGCGCCACCAGGGAAGCCCCATTTACCTATTTTTGTACTGGTTGCATTAGCAGTAGTGTTGGGAGAAGGGAGTGTTTATCATTTTTAAACATATTTAGAATTATGATTGCTCTATATTGATTTATTTAATCATTGCTCTCTATTTAATTTACGTTTAATTGGATTTGGCATTAGAGGAAAGTAAGATTTTAGAATTTATCAAACAAAAGTATCAAAACATTCGAGAAATAGTGCTTCCATGCAGATCTTCCCAGTCTGTATGCTGCAGATATCACTCAGAGTGTGCGCCTTGATGTGAAAAGTACTGGGAATCTCTGCTTCAGGGGTAACAGACAAGGCTCAGATATAGATCTCACCCTCAAGGATCTTTGAGTCTAGGGATGGAGGATCGAATAGTTTCCTGTTAGAACAGTAATTCTAGCTAGAAGGTGGGAAGAGGTAAAATGCTGGAGGATGTCAGAGGGTGTGATGAACTTCTGTCCTGGAGTTCGGGTTCAGCTCCAGTGAGGAAAAAACATTCATTGCCTCCTTCACGTGTGCCAGTCTGAGATCAGTGTGCAGAGCAGTTTAGACAGATACAGACCCTGCCTGTTGATAACTTAAAGCCTAGCACTGTGCATCGTGGGCTCACAGGTTGGGCGTCTGCCCAGCTTTTCTTCCTGGACAGCTTCCAGCATTTCTGAGGAAGGAGTGAGTGTGTGGGACCCCAGCCCAAGTGATCCAGTTGTCAGAACGCCTAACTGACTCCTATGAATGGGGGAAGACCCCTCTGGGTTCTCTGCATAGATAGTAGGGCTATCATCCACCTCGACCTCTATGTCAGGAGGGGCCTGCCTGGGGTGCACACCACAATGATAGATTGATGGCTTCTGGGCCCTGGGGTCCTCATTACCATCATAGCCATCATCTTCTGCTAGTGCTGAATAACAGATGAAATTTAATCAGATACCAAAGGAGTTCTCAGCAGGAGGGTTTGAGGAACCTTGCCCGATACTTAGACTCTAGTGCTGGAATGGAACCAGAATGATCTTTTGTGGTGAGACTAAATGTATCACGCACTATGTGAATTCTGATTTATTTTTAAAACATTCTTGCTCTCCTTGGCTCCCCTTTTAATAGTCTCACTGTAGCCTGTTTATTGTTACAGATGTTACTTTTAAATGAGGTCACCGAGCTTTCCTTTCTCCCAAAGGCAGTGTTTGCCTTTTTATTGCTGGGTTGGCAGGGCTGCCTGGAGAAAAGTGCTAATATGAGATCAAGGTTGAGCTTCAGACTCCCAGGAGACAAGGCAGAGAAAAACCCTCTTCCGTGTTTACATGCACTCACGTCAGCATTGGTCCCCGGAGAGAGAGTGGTCGCCTGAGTCCAGGTGATGACCTTGATAAGGCTGGCTGGCAGAGTTGAGAGAGGGGATGGGTGTTGTGGTCATACACTGGCTTAACTCCCTTCTTGTCCACTGTGAAACCTCAAGCAAGTCAACAAACCTCTCTCAGCCTGTTTCCTCATCTGTAACTTGGGGTTAATAACTGTTTACTCCTAGGGTTTGTGTGAGGCTACAGCGTGCTATAGCTCCTCGGTGTGTGTTGGACAGAGTAACTGCTGAACATTTTTGAAGGCCTCCACATAGTACATTTTACACAGCGTGGTTGGAGGACCACTGCCCAAACTGGGCTTGCCATTGATGTTCTCAAATTCGCTTTGATTGAACACACCCACACATTCCTTTATGGATGTCTGTGGCTGCTTTTGCACCACAAGGCAGTTGTTGGGTAGTTGGAACAGAGACCATATGGTCTGCAAAGCCAGAATCACTGACCACCTGGCCCTTTACAGAAGCTTGCTGACCCCCAAGCAAGACTAAAGGATGGCCATGTGTTGGGGACTTCCCTGGTAGTCCAGTGGTTAAGACTTCACATTTCCACTGCAAGGGGTGTGGGTTCGATCCTTGGTCTGAGGAATAAGATTCCCACATGCTGCAAGGCACGGCCAAAGGAGAAAAAAAAAAAAAAAAAGGATGGCTCTGTGGCATTCAGAGCTTTATATATGTATATATTTTTTTGCCAAATACATCTCATGCTTTCTTGTTTTTCTCCATTTCCCTCTATATAATTCTTCTGATGTATTGCTTATTACAGGAGGGCTTGTTTTCTGCTCATCTTTGTATCTCTTGCAACATGTAAAGCAGTACCCTACACATAGTAGTGTATAATACATAAATGAGGTGGTGTGGAGTAGAGTGGAGGGGCATCAGAGAAGAGAGAGACTTCATGGAGTTTTCGGGACAGTATTGCACACAGTAAGGTGGCTGCCACCCCAGCTGCAAACCAGTGGCAGGGATGCAGTACACTTAGGAAGGGAGGTAACACCAACTGATGTAAAGAACACGGGAGCCAGGACACCCAGATTTGAATCCCAGCTCAGCCAGTTCCTGACAAATTGGTCCTCAGCCAATTTGCTTAAGCTCTGTAAGCATATTTTCTCAACTCCAAAGTAGGGAATAATAATACCAGCTTCTGCTTTGTGACCACCTAGAGGGGTAGGATAGGGAGGGTGGGAGGGAGACGCAAGAGGGTGGAGATATGGGGATATATGTATATGTATAGATGGTTCACTTTGTTATAAAGCAGAAACTCACACCATTTTAAAGCAATTATACTCCAATAAAGGTGTTAAAAAATAATAATGCCACCTTCATCCTAGGGTTGTTTTATGGATTAGATGAGATAACGTGAGGGAAGGCCTCTATTCCAGTGCTGCCATGTTGGAATCATTCTGTAAGCTCTTCCTGAATGATTGTGGTTCTCATTTTTCAAGTACTATCGATGCTGTTTCCCTCATTGTGAAGTGAACAAGGTCAAGGTCACAGGTCTAGTCCCTCGGGAGACTAGCCTATTAATATTACTGTTTTCCACAGTTAGAGAATATACCCTAAGCCAGCAAGTATACACTGGCTTAACAGAGACCAGCCCAGTGAGGAGAGAAATTAATGCAAATGAATCATTTATGCCGAAAAAATAATTCACGACATATAGTGTCACCGTACAATGTTAAGAGTGATTGCTTCACTTGACTGAAACATTCATTACATTTTCTATTCATGGGGTATTTTTTTAAGGGACAGAAAGAAAATGTTGAGTCGAAAATTTACAGCCTTATACCTACTGGGATTTCTTCATAGTACAAACCATTTATGCAAAACAGATGCCTGAGGCACAGTGCCTGCATGCACCTGTGGATTTGTTGGTTATATATGTCTTTTTCCCCACTCCTCCAGTTCTTGCAGACAACCTGAAATCCAACCCTGGAATTAAGTGGCAGTATTTCAGTTCAGAAGAAGGAATTTTCACTGTTTTCCCAGCACACAAGTTCCGGTGTAAGGGCAGCTATGAGCATCGCAGTAGGTAGGTTGACTTGCTTGCCAAAGTTTTAATTACTGCTTAAGAGTAATCTGTATAAAATATAGACTCCCCATTCATACACACAGCTCTGCCTCCAAACTGTGGTTTCAGAAACTTATCCTGAAATGATTTCATTATTTAACCTATGTGGGTGTAGAAATGCCTGGGAAGGCAAATGATGAAGCCTGGAACTTTTTCAGAACTATCTAACAAGCCAAGTAAAACAAGGTATTTATTAAGAAATAAAAAATTTTGAAGCACCCAGTCTGTTTTGAGTTTCAGACACCTTCATTGAGAGACAAATGATAATACCTTCTCTCAAGGGCAGCGCTAGAAGACTTTACAGCATATCTCAGAATAGAGTTTGTGATTCTCAGCTTTCCTTTCTGTGATAACATGCTTGGCCATCCTTTTGAAATTTACATGCAAATCTCAGCTACTAGAAGTCTTAAGGTTGTCCAGAAAACACTGGATCGAGGGTCCTTAACATGCTGCTTTTCTCAGGAAATGACTTGAGATGCTACCACTTAGCTAGAAGTGCGGTAATGGTGAGATAATTTCTAGGACAGCACTCATCAATTTACAGAACCCCTTAGGCAAAGATACTTTCCTTTTTAATCCCCACAGTTTCCCTTTTGCAGTGTTAGATGTTTGATGCCAGAACTTCTGGAACTAGTGCAAGATGCCTGCTTTTCATGCCACGTTTTTTGAGACTAAACCACCAATTTAGCTTCTTTCCATCTTTGTTTTAAATTATATCTATTCGTTAAACTTATTGTGATCACTTCATGATGTATGTAAGTCAAATCATTATGCTGTACACCTTAAACTTATACAGTGCTGTATGTCAAGTACATCTCAATACAACTGGAAGAAAAAAATAAGTAAATTGTATCTAAAGTTTTCCCCAAGGAAAATACTACTTCTGTGCTTTTCCTAGAAGGACATTTGTATCATTTGTATGGTTTCTTCCGTTCCCTCCCTAGACAGCATGGTGAAGACTTGAGCACCTTGGAGACTGTTCCAGAATCCATGACCTTGGGTTCTAGTCTGGCTCATCTCTCAGGAGAGGCCAAAGACATCATAAATCATCTAATTCTCATTTACTTCTAAGAAGATAGATTAGATGGCATTCTGCTTTTAATGAATCACCTGTGAGGGATGGTCCAAAAGGAAAAGCAGCACCTTGTCACAAATCAGCATTCACCTACACTTGGGAGGTTTCACGAATCTCTACCCTAAATACGCATTAAATCAATCCTCAAGCCTCTGTTCCCTTGACTAAGTAATCTGAGTTCCTCTCCTTGTAGATTGCTGTCGCCGTCTCTTGACCTGTTCTCTCACCTCTGAGGCTTTTGCAAGGTCTCCACATCCTTTGAAGTGTGGAGTGGGTTTGCAGAGCATATCAGAAAGGAGCCAATTGTACTATGAGGACCGCCCCAGATTGTACATATAATGCTGCTATTTATGTATCCCAGTAAAGCAGTTTTTAACAATTTATTGTGACAGTGTGAACACATATTCTGCTCTTCATTTATGTTGAGTTGAATTGGAAAGGAGGGGGTATGTCATTTAAAAAAAAAAATCTACTCATCTAGCTTGGAGGACTTAAAAGTTCAGTATTCGACATGGTTGTCAGTGTTGGGATAGACAGATTTCCTTATTTTCTGTTGCCTCTTTCACTTCTGTAGCCACCGCTCTTGGATTTTTTTTATCCAATTTCCCTACTTGGCTGAATGGTATTGACTAGTGAAAATATAGTAGTGCTTTAGTATTAATGTAGGACTTTTGGCTTGAGAACAATTAGTGTAAACTTGGCCCAATTTTGAGTTTTTTTGGTACTTTGCCTGTATTTCTTAATTTGTGCCCAGGCTTTTGTGACTCAACTGGCATCTAACATTTCACAGAAAACTCTAGTGTTTTAGGGGTGTCGATAAAGGAGAGAATTCTCTCGAGGCTGATTTGCTCTCTTAAGCTCCCTCTAATTTGTTCCAGCTTTAAAACTGTGAATAGAGACCTCATTAAGCCTCTTCTCACAAACCTGCCTGCACCGCACACTAGCAGAAGGTTGCTTTGGTGGGAGGCACTTCTCCTTTGGAGTTCCCCCCACCTCCACCCCTTTTCTTAATGTTGGCAAACAAAAACCTGGCAAGAAGAGTGGCTATCACTGGCTTGGACAAATCTGATGGCACAGTTTTAAATGCTCGGATAAGGGGCCTTTTGGTGGCTGACCTGTGTAAATTGTTTCAGTACAGAAAGGAAAAGGGCCCTCCTAGCAGTGGCTTTTGTCTGGGGAGAGAGAAACCAGACCAGCTATTCAAAACTGCTCAGCGTGCTCACAGATGACAGGCTGCCTCCGTTTTAGCCAAGCCCCACTCTAAATCTGCAGAGGACCCCGCACTGGCTGGTGGACTTTTTTCTCCCTGCTATTCTGTCTCTGCCGCCCGGGGGGGCCACCAGTTCCACTTCCAGGGAGGGTGGGCTTTCACATATGCTGAAAAAGCCAGCCTTCCGAAGGCTTTGCTTCTCAAATCCTTCTCCCGGTTGCTTTAATCTTTGGAAGGCAGAAGACACCAATCCCTGTTCTGCAGATGCACACTGTTGTCTTGAGGTGTTGTTTTCATTGCACCAGAATAGTTTCTCGTTCCGTGCTGGTCTCTCCATCCTTGTGCCAACCCCCCAGAAACACAGGGAGGCCAGCGTGCTTGCCCATATGTAGCACTCATAGCTGTGTTAGGTTGAGGCCTTTACTCTAAACCAGGACTGACCCCAGAGAGCTTCTCCCCATTCTAGACCTATCTACGTCTCCACTGTCCGGCCGCAGTCAAAGCACATAGTAGTGATCCTGGACCACGGGGCTTCCGTCACAGACACCCAGCTTCAGATTGCCAAGGACGCTGCCCAGGTCATCCTCAGCGCCATCGATGAACACGATAAGGTGATGATGACCCCAGTGACCCCACCCCCACCCCATTGGCATTGGGTCTTTCTTGAATACCTTTTTAAAAGTACTTTATGTTTTATGATATGTATTTTTCAGTCCACCTTTAAAAATGACTTTGAGAAAAGAGAGTGCTGTAGTTTTTATTCTAGTATTTAAGGAAGCAGCTGCCAACCCTGGTTCCAAATCTCTTTATAAAACCATCCCCACCAAACTGAGTCTTGCACTTCCTTAATGGCCCTGCCTAGACTTCTAATTAGCTGTGACTTTCACACTGGAAATTATACTAAGGAGGAACAAGGCTAGGGCTTGGACACTGGTGGATGACTTGTCTTTATCTCAAGATTGATGGGAGGCAAGGGAGAAAAGAAGGCTGCTAGAGGTTTACTAATCTCTAGGATACCTCAGAGATAGGCGTGTTTACAACTATTGATAATCTATTGCCTGTAGACATTTTCTGCTTCATCATTTTGACTTTTCCACCTCCTAAGGTTTTACTCACTAATCTAGTTGTTTAAAACACACACCCTATGCCTTTACCCTCACCGCCACCTCCAGTCAGAGAAGCCAGACGATAGTACTTGCCAAGATTTTTATGTGTGCGAAATACTGTTTTTAATGTTCTAGATGAACACCATACTGCTGACTTCATCTTGGAACAAAAGCCAAATTCTAGGGTCCCTGTCCCTTACCAATCCTTAACTAATCTTCAAATTTCATAGGTTGATGCCTCTAGGCATTTCTTTTTAAACTCTCCAAAACTGTTCTGTAGGACTTGTCACTTTGGGCGCTCTTCTGAAATGTAGAAAACCTTTCCCTGGCAGAATAACAAGGTCTGTTTGTCTGTTTGTTTTCCCCTCCAGATCTCCATGCTGACTGTGGCAGACACCGTCAGGACTTGCTCACTTGACCAGTGCTATAAGACATTCCTGTCTCCAGCCACCAGTGAGACAAAAAGGAAAATGTCCACCTTCGTCAGCAGCGTCAAGTCTTTGGACAGCCCTACCCAGCACGCAGTGGGATTTCAAAAGGCATTTCAGCTGATTCGAAGCACCAACAACAGCACCAAGTTCCAAGCAAGTAAGTACCTTTGCTCACTAATAAATTAGTTGCTCATAAACTAACAGATAGAGGATGGCAATAGAAATATATTGTAAATTGATCACATAACTATGTCTAGAGGGATTTTTTTCTAAATTGACGGGATAAAAATTTCTTGTGTTGTCATAATGGTCATCTAATACTAGGATCTTACTAGATTTTCTCATCTTTTCCAATCAAAGGTACTCAGTCTGCACGATTTCTTTACTCCCTGAGCCTCTTCTTCCTGCTCCTTTATTAGGAACATATCCCCGTTTATTTCCCAGGAGAATATCCACATCCTTTTTGATGCTAATTGTCAGCCTCTCGTCCTCAGTGACTTAGAGTGGCTGTCTGCTTGTGCGCATATGCTCAGAAACTGGGCAGCCGGAATTCTTGCCTCGATCCTTCCTTCTTCTAACCAGCTGTCATTTAGATGAGCACAACCCTTCAAATGTACAAAGACACTCTAATTTAATTTTCATGTGTTAAAGAAAATCTGGAATTAGGATGCATGCTAAAGTAAAGGGAAGGATATTTGAAATAAGATACATGCTTCAAAACTACTGAAAGGAATCTATGTTGTTTTCTCTTTTATATATGAAAATCTGTTTGTAGGTTGTTTTTTTCAATGAACGTATCCTACTGAGATAAATTTAAAGAATATATTTTCAAGCTCTTCAGTGTGTCTGCATTAAAACTAAGACCACATTGATAAATGCACAACTTAGTGCCTGGCACATGGTGGTCCCTTGAAAGACAGAAGCTACTGTAATTATTACAGCTAATGACGGTAAATGGCGTATCAGTTTTATGTTTCTGTGTATTGTTATCTCACAGTTTATTATCTCACAGTTTCTGTGGGTCAGGAGTCCGTGAGTTGCTGAGCTGCTTCTCTGTTTAGGACTGCACAAGGCTGTATTTCTAGGTGTCAGCCAAGTCTGTGGATTCATTGAGGGTTAGAGTCCTCTTCCAAGCTCAGTGGTTGGCAGAATTCATTTCTTTGCAGTTGTGAAACTCATGTGTACTTGTTTCTTCAAGGCCAGGAGGACAGCATCTTTTCTTCATCCCCTGACTTTGGGGAAGGCTTGGACCCTCTTTTAAAGGCCTTGTCTAACCTAATCAGGCTTACTCTCCCTTTTGATTTAAACAGATTACTCTCCCTCATGGTTAGCTTATTAAGACCTTAATTACGTCTGTAGAATCCCTCCATCTTTGCCAAATATATAGCACAGTCACAAGAATGATATCCCATCACCTTAGCCATATTCTGTTGGCCAGAAGCAACAGTGTGGGTCATGCCCACACTCAAGAGGAGGGAGTCATACAAGGGTGGGGGTCATTGGGGTCATCTTAGAATTTTGCCTGCCAGCCTTGGCAAGCACCAGCTATCCACAGATCAATATTATAGGATGGCTGAGTGTAAAGTTGTCCATAGTTCAATAAGGCCAAAGGATAAGGCTGACCTCTCAAGTATTCAAGACAGATTGGCTAGTTAGTCAATGCCATTCACCTGTGGATGCCATTTACCAGCTGCCGTCCGGCTGTCAGCATTCCTCACCAGATGTGCTCTTTTTACTCGATTCTTCAGTCATCAAACCATCTTTAGAGATGAAGTCCAATTTCGATGATGATTACACTGTTTAAGTAATGGAGAGAAATGTTATACTGGCAGCAGCCAGGCAGTGAGTGTGTCAAGTGAGCTCGAGGTAAGGTAATGAGGATTGTTTGGGGAGCACAGGAAGCTAGAGGGCGCATGCTCCATCAAGAAGACAGCTGCTCTTCTGTTTAGCCTCTCGTTGCCTTGCAGGAATGCCTGTCCCTGGATTTTTATGTGAAACCCCTTCATTTTCAAATGTTGTCATTTGTTCCAGCTTTAAAACTGTGAATAGAGACCTCATTAAACCTCTTCTTACAAACCTTCCTGCCCCGCACATTAGCAGAAGACTGCTTTGACAGGAAACGTTTCTCCTTTGGGTTTTGGGGGGTTTTCTTAATGTTGGCGAGCGAAAACATGGAAAGAAGAGTGACCGTCACAGATTTGGACACATTTTGATGTCTTTTTTCTAAATGCTCAGAGGAGTCTTTTTTAGGCCAAGTAAGATGTTTCTAAAGTTTAGCTCACAGGCCTCCACTTTACATCTTCTACTGGCAGTTCAAAGAAAAAAGAACCCAAATTAGATTGCATAAAGAAACACTTCAGGAATTAGTATTACCCAGTTTATTAAGGAGAGGTTTGAGCTGCTCTCCAGCAATGTTGCACAGTGGTTAAGTATGTGGGTTTTGAATTTCAACCAGTGTGTGTTCAAATTCCTACTCTGAAATTTTTCTAAACTTGTGTGAATTATTTGATTTCTCCAGGTCTGGTTTCCCCATCTGCAAACTGGGTGTGATAATAAGATCCAGGGCTCCATCATAAATATTAAATAAATATTAGCTGTGGTTATTATGATATTCTGTTTCCTTCAAGACTTCTAGCTCTGGGGACTTCCCTGGCAGTCCAGTGGTTAAAGATTTCGCCTTCCAATGCAGGGGGTACGGGTTCGGTCCCTGGCTGGGGAGCTAAGATCCCACATGCCTTGTGGCCAGAAAACCAAAACATAAAAAATGGAAGCAATATTGTAACAAATTCAATCAAGACTTTAAAAATGGTCCACATTAAAAAAATATACATATATATATTTAAAAAAAGAAAAAGCCTTCTAGCTCTGGCTAAAGGAGAGCGGATACCCTAGACATCCTAAGTTGACCCCAAGCCCAAAGACGGTCAAGGACCATTAGTAGCCTTGGCTAAAGCATGGTGAGGGGTCTATGTACTCCTCATAGGAGCTTGTACTCTACATCATTACTTGTTTTCACTCCACAGGCAATTATTTAGCATCTACTTTATACCTGGCACTGTTTGAAGGCAGTGGGATAGGATTATTCCAATGAGCCTACCCTGTAGGGTTATTGTAAGGATTAGTCTGTGAATGACAGTAAAGTATCTGCCCCACATTGGTGTTCATATGAACAGAAACCACATGGCATATATCATGGTGGCTTTGTCCTAATTTGCTTTGTACTAATCAGGAAATCTAAAACTTTTATCCAGTGCCGGCTCTTTTTCAGTCCCATGGTAGATGTGTAACTGATACCATCGACACATTTGGATTGTTTGTTCTGGGTTTGTCTGGGGGATAACTGGTTGAGGAGGGTCATTTTGTAGCAGAAGGAATAGGATGGCTAGGAGTGGGAATCTAATGGCATGGGCAAAGCCCAAATTTGAGTTGTTCTCCCCGCTTTGATACTGACCCGAAGGAATGCTGGTGGCTTAGACAGGGACTTGTCAAATGGAGAGGGTTGCATTTTCTTCCAGGTACATGCTATGTCTTTGCCCTGCCCCAAGTCCCTATAGTTACTCATCCCTAACATTACTAATCACAAGGCTTAATGTTCCCATGAGCAACTAGAGAGGGGATATCCTAGTAAGTAAAACAATAAATCAGACCAAATTTGGCAGGTCTGATTCTAAAAATAGAAAAATAACTCAATTTTGCCTAAGGATAGGGCAGGAGTAGAGTCAGGGGCTGGCCAGAGACAGTGAGGATGCTTGCAGAGTGTACGTCTTATTGTTGGGACGGAAAGAAAATACGCTTGGCGACTAAAGGAGCTGCAGGCTGCAGGCCCTTCTGGTTTTCCAGTTGTGGACCTGTGCCTAAAACCAGCTCTCAGTGACAGCGTGTTTTATCCAGAATCATAAAGCCAAGTAAGAAAATTCAAGAGTTCGTTTTAGGTCAGTCTTACAGGTGTCCAGGAATTTATCACACATAAATGACAAACCACAGGGCGATGGTTTGTTAGCTTCATGGTATATCTGTATTCTACCTGCTAGGGTCAAGTAGTATTTTCCAGTCTGAAGTTTAAGTGAGCTGTTCAGCATCCTAAAAAAAATAATTTACAGGACTGTATTTTCAACACTGGAAAAAGATTGACATCTAGTTTAAGACAGGGATATTCCCTAGCTTATGATATTTTTTTGCATCAGCTTTCATATCTTAATTTCTGATGAAAAAATATGTAATTTAAATTTGCAGTTAATATTTATTCGAGAATTGCTCAAGCATCAAAATTAGCTTTAAGACTTGCTTATATATTAAGTCTTAGTAGTAATTATTCAATTCTGCATAATAAAGGATGTTGCAGAGTCTAAAATGGAAATTTACAAATGGAAGAAAATTCTGTCATTGTACCCTCATAATTGTTAGGATAGTTTTTTAAATTATCTATTCCTGGGTAATAAATTACCCAACACTCACTGGCTTAAGGCAATAAACATTTATTATCTCAGTGTCTGTAGGTCAGGAATCGGGGCACAGCATGGTTGGGTGCCTCTGGCTAAAGGTATCTCATGAGGTTACAGTTAAACTGTTGTCCACAGCTGCTGTCATCTCATAGTTCAACTTGAGAAAGGTCTGCTTCTAAGTTCACTGACATGGTTGCTGGCAGATTCGATTCTGAAGGCCTCAGTACCTTGCCTCTCCATGGGTTAGCTCACAACATGCTCTCTGGCTTCCCTGAGAGAGAGCACACAGGTGGAAGCCACTGTCTTTCTGTAACCTAATCCATCTCTTGACACCCTGTGACCTCTGCTGCATTCGGTTCACAAGAAGCCGGTCATTAAATCTAGTCCACATTCAAAGGGAGACCACACAGGGATGTGAATATCAGGAAGTGAGATCATTGGGGGACCAACCTGGAGGTTGCCTACCCCAGTAACTATAAAGCAATCTCAGATAAATGACAACCATAAAAACCTGAAGAATTAAGCATATAGCGTATCAATCATTATTTCTCAATAAAAAGGTAAACGTCTGTGTAGGTTGTCTTAAAAATAGATATTGAATCAGCGAATCTCAGATTAAAAAGACAGTATAAAAATCCAGCTGGCTTACTTCCCTTCCTCCATTAAAGCCATCGTTCAGCCTCTGCATCTTTAGTGGTAGGAAATGCACCACTTTTATTTTTGAGTAAATCCACTTGAAAGAAGTTTTCACCCTGAGCTAAAATGACTTCCCAATCATTAGCCCTGGTTGGAGAGTCAATTTACTCTAGAGTCATAGGTGCTGCTTCAGGCCAATGCGAGGGTTTCGTTTTTGTTTTGTTTGTGTTGAGGTTTCCTTCTTTTCTCTTTTATCCTCTATTTACCATCACCCTTTGGCTTTCACTCTTTTTTTAAACTGTAATTGACCCTTTTTTTTTAACGTTCTTTTTTTTTTAACATTTAATTTTTATTTATTTATTTATTTATTGGCTACATTGGGCCAAAAAATAAATTTTTTGGCTGCGTGCGGGCTTTCTCTAGTTGCAGCGAGCGGAGGCTACTCTCTTGTGGTGCACGGGCTTCTCATTGCAGTGGCTTCTCTTGTGGAGCACAGGCTCGAGCTGCATGGGCCTCAGTAGTTGCAGCCTGCGGGTTCAGTAGTTGCAGTATGCGGGCTCAGTAGTTGTGGCTCACGGGCTTAGTTGCTCCGTAGCACGTGGGATCTTCCCGGACCAAGGATCGAACCTGTGGCCCCTGCATTAGCAGGCAGATTCTTAACCACTGTGCCACCAGGGAAGTCTGGCTTTCATTCTTAAATTAACCAGTTGATCCTCACAGCAACCCTGTGAAATAAATACTGTCATTATCCCCATGTTGTTGTAGATAAGGACATTTAGGTGTAGAAAGGTTAGGAAATCTGCCTGAAACAACCCAGACACAGCTTGAAAGTGGCACAGCTGGGATGTGAACACAAGCAACCTGGCTCCTATGTCCATGCTTTTATTGCTCTCCTATACTGGTGAGTTTTAAAACAAAAATGTTTTTGGCACTACCTGGCATAGAGACAGATAACCTTACATGTCTCAGGAGTCCTTGGCAGAACCACCATTTTAAAGCCTAGTCCTGGGACGTTCCTGGTGGTCCAGTGGTTAAGACTCCACACTGCCAATGCAGGGGGCCTGGGTTCGATTTCTGGTCAGGGAACTAGATCCCACATGCCACAACTAAAAGATCCTGCATGCCGCAACTAAAGATCCCACGTACCTCAACGAAGATCCCTCATGCAGCCACAAAGAGTCCGTGTGCTGCAACTAAGACCCGGCGGAGCCAAACAAATAAAAATAAATAATTTTTTTTTGTAAAGCCTAGTCCCCCCAAAAATGTGTGTTCCTGGGGAAGACCCTGAGACACTAAGGAAAAGGTAAATCAGGTTCTGAATCCTCCATTTCAGAAGGCAGGAAAGATGTCCTTTTAGTATGGCTAAATTACCACAACCATAGATGCCTAAAGGAACACACCTTCGATCTGGTAAACTCATTAGGAACATCTCCTTCCCTGACACTGGGTAAATGAGGCCTCATGGCCCACCACGGGCAGGATGCAAGAGCAGTGGAGGCAAGAAGACGAAAGCCCGGCATCAGACAGGCGGGAGTAGGAACGGTGGACCGGGCAGGTCCTCAAGGCAGGAAAGGCCAGTGAAAGAGAAACTGAGTAGCTGCCTTTAGCCAGACTCCGATGTAACTTTCAGTTTTCATGTTTTTGTTTAGATACAGACATGGTCATCATTTACCTGTCTGCTGGCATTACATCAAAGGACTCTTCAGAAGAAGATAAAAAGGCGACTCTCCGTGTCATCAGTGAAGAAAATAGCTTTCTAAACAACTCCGTAATGATTCTCACCTATGCCCTCATGAACGGTAGGTAGTGTTTCGAGATTCTTTTCTTTCAGATGAAAGTTCTGTCTAAGTGCATGCTGCTTTCAAAAAAAATAACGAAGAACCATCACAGGGTGCTTTGATGAAGGGTATGAGAAGCAGATTCCTTCCCAAGCCTGTCTTTCTCTACCTCCCATGGCTACTCAGGGTGTGTGTTAGGATGTCCCTGTCTCTCCATCTCTCTCTCCGGCCAGCTGCTCATTTCTAAACCGTCACCAGTTATGTGGTCTTGCACAGGATTCTGTACAGCTCCATTTTTTTCACTTCTCCTCATATTCTTGGATTTTGATACTGCATAGAGGTTATTAACTTATCTCATTGATTTAAGAGCAGGAAGCTGAAGTACTGACCTAGATTCTTCTGTATAACCAGGACCGTGAATATCACATTTCCCTGCGGAATCACTACCTGGAGCCTCTTGTGACACTTTCTCCACCTCCCCTTCCTTAGCTGTGTCATTGGAAATGAGAATTATCTACTTGACAGGGTTATTGTGAAGACTAACCCCGACGTATGGTAGGCACCCAGGACGGTGCCCGGCACTTGCTAGGTGCTCATTAAGGTTGATTGTGTTGCTATTAAATCAGACAATATGTGAGAGGGTTTAGTAAACTAGCAAATCTGAGGAAATACCCATTATTTTTCCTTCAGCAATTTAGCCATCCTCCAGTCTGATGAAAGCCCAATTTTCCAGCCTTTCTGCTGTGTCATGTCCCTCCCACTTGTTAATACACAGCTCTTCGTCCTCTTCTTTGGGTCCCTTTTCCTCAGTGTTCAAAGTGGCCCCATTCTCTTGTTTTTAAGAGAGCATGTCTTGATCCAGCAGCCCTTCCCACCTATGGGCTTTTATCTCCCCTATCCACTTTCAGATTTCCATGCAGAACCAGGTGGCTTTAGGGACACTGGTTCTCATATTTTAATAGGATAAGGATATATTAGAGACTCATTTTTTAAATGCAGACTCCCAGGCAGTATCTACAGATTTGTACTCAGACCCTCTTAGATGGGGTCCAGGAATCTGTGTTTTGGTCAGCATGATTTTTTTGCAGATATTTTTGTGGACTGCATACACATGGAAGAACGCAGGGGATGGTGTCTAGATGTTCTCAGTTTCAGTCTCCATTTGCTAGCCATGTGGCTTATGGCAAATTACTTAATCTCTTGAGGGCCTCAGTTTTATCTGTAAAATGAAAAGAACAAAGTCTTCATAGGATTGCTGTGATAATAAATATACAAGATATGTTGTGTTTATTGAGCATGTGCCATATACAACATAGTACACTGAGGTCTTAGAGCTGTAGTACACAATATCTCTGTCTTCAGGAAGCCCTTGACCCAGTGAAGAAGACAGACAAGGCAGATGAATTAAATGCAATAGTACAGGAGTAAGGAAACATAAAAGGAAGTGATCATGTCTTTTCCATTCAATTTGAAGGGCTTTCCAGGCAGATACTGAGTAAAGAAATTTTCTTGCTGTCACCCATCTCTTCACTGTTCCTAGATCTTCCCACTGGAGTATCTTGTGCTCTTGCTGTGCCCCTGATAATTCCATTCTTTGAAACTTCTGGTTACTTCCCTCTAACTATTCTCATCTTTTCTCTTTCTCCCCCTTAATCTAGCCTGAAATATGTCCTCATTGCAAGTTTTCCACCTCTCTGAGAGATATCTCTGAACATTGTTCACGAGGGTTGACACATTCCCTTAACTCTGTCAATTCAAATAGGGAAGCAGAGTCACTATGAAAATTCTGGCACAACAAATTTATTATCAGAATAAGAGTGTATACTGTTGGTGGGAATGTAAATTGGTACAGCCACTATGGAAAACAATATGGAAGTTCCTTAAAAAACTAAGACTTGTCCTACCATATGATCTAGCAATCACACTCCTAGGTTTATATCTGGAAAAGACAAAAACTCTAATTCAAGAAGATACATGCACCCCAATGTTCATAGCAGCACTATTTATAATAGCCAAGCCATGGAAACAACCCAAGTGCCCATCAACAGATGATTAGTTTAAGAAGATGTGGTGTAATATATATGGAATCTAAAAAAAAAAAAAAAAAGGTTCTGAAGAACCTAGGGGCAGGACAGGAATAAAGATGCAGACATAGAGAATGGACTTGAGGACACAGAGAGGGGGAAGGGTAAGCTGGGACAAAGTGAGAGAGTGGCATGGACATATATGCACTACCAAATGTAAAACAGATAGCTAGTGGGAAGCAGCCTCATAGCACAGGGAGATCAGCTCGGTGCTTTGTGACCACCTAGAGGGGTGGGATAGGGAGGGTGGGAGGGAGACGCAGGAGGGAGGAGATATGGGAACATATGTATATGTATAGCTGATTCACTTTGTTATACAGCAGAAACTAACACACCATTGTAAAGCAGTTATACTCCGATAAAGATGTTTAAAAGAAAAAAAAGATTTGGTGTATATATACAATGGAATATTTCTCAGCCATAAAAAGAATGAAATATTGTCATTTGCAGCAACATGGATGAACCTAGAGGATATTATACTAAGTGAAGTAGACAAAGAAAGACAAATATGAGATCACTTATGTGTAGAATCTTAAAAAATTATACATATATATTATGTATTATATATATAATACATACCTATATATAAAACAGAAACAGACTCACAGACATAGAAAACACACCAAAGGGGAAAGGGCCTGGGGGGGGAGGGATAAATTAGGAGTATGGGATTAACAAATAGAAACTACTATACATAAAATAGATAAGCAACAAGGATTTACTGTATAACACAGGGAACTATATTCATTATAATGGAAAATAATCTGAAAAATATATATGTATATAACTGAATCACTTTGCTGTACCCCTGAAACCAGCACAATATTGTAAATCAACTATACTCCAATTAAAAAAAAGAAGAGTGTACACAATTATGGGGGGAAACTGGATGAGTAAAGATGCAAAAAGAGGAAATGACAACTCAAAGGTTATTAACCAGCTCTGGTCTGGGTGAACAAGTTGGAACTTGCAGGGATTTCTGGAGGCTAGGAACACGGAAGACTGCTTAGGAGGTCTGGTGTAGAAGTCTATGAGAGGTTGTTGGCTCTTCATGGCTGCTACCCCTGTGAATTCTCAGTGAAGCATCTGGAGTGGGGTTGCCCTTGGTGAGTATGCCAGCAGTTGGGAAAGGGAACTGAACACAGAGCAGAAGAGTGGGACGAACTGGAACATTCTGTTTCCTCGATGTCTGTCTCTTAACATCTCTCTCTTCACCTCTTAAATCTTACAACACTTCACTTTTGGCCACCTTTAACCTGGAAGCATAGAAGAAAGGGGATTGTGGGAAATGTAGTTTCCAGCATGACCACATTGATGATAGAATAATCCAGGCTGCCGCCCTACTGACTCTACTGCCACCCCTGCATAACATTTCATGATGGAGTGACATTAAAAAGTGGAGTGACATTAAGTAACCCAATCTTTGATATCCTGTACTGTGCTTCTTTGTCTAGTAGATGTTCCTGTTTGTTACTTTTCTTGTACATTTTGAAAGAGCCATGCAGTGCATGACAAAGAAAGGAAATGTGTTTATTGCCTTGAAGTTGTCTCCTTTTATCACTCACCCCTGTGAGTTTATCAAGGGTGTAAGATCAGGGATCAATCACGTCTTCTGTGTTGTCTTTTACTCCCAGACATGGGAGGTGAGTGTCTTTTACCACTCACCTCCCATGTGAATTCTGTGTCAAGCAAAGGCAACAATAATCTGATTCAAACTTTAGCATTGCCTGAGTGGAGCAAAATCCAGATTATTTACATACAGCGGGTGAAGAAAGAAATTATATCCATTAGATCTTGCCGTGACTTTAGAAATGGACTTACAAGGCTAGAAGTATATATACTTCCTATTTAGAAATGATAAAGTCACTTAAGGTAGGTGAACCATGAACTCCAGATATTTTTAATGACTAAGCAGTTCAAGAACATGAGGCAAAACCTTTTTAAAACTCATTGGTAGAATCTCAGTAGTGACTGAAATCATTTGAATTTGTTTACAATGGTACCCATATGGGACCAGTTACTAATCCTATTGACTGTGTTCCAACAATAGCAAACCAAAATTTTAAAAAAGGTTTATTAAATTTATTTTTGTGCTATAGATTACAGATGTTGTAGAACAATTCAGCCCAGTATGCCTGAATCTTTTACAAAAATTTTAAAACTCTAAACATAAAAAAAGTATACTAAATAAATCAAATCCAGTATTATCCTAACAATATAAAGCATGAAAACATTTGTAATTAAAATGAGCTTAAAGAAACAGGGTTTGGAGACACCACTCAATACAATCCATAATTCTTGCATTTAGTTGCATGAGACTTTGGCAAGTGTTTAATAGGCAAAGAGGTAAGAAATGAAATGGTAAACCTCTATCCTTTAAAACTCTTACAACTTCATCTACTAATTTAAATTAAATGCAAACTTGTTAATCATTACTTTTGCTTTCAAATATTAAATGCAGAAAAATAATTTAAATTTTATAATTAAACTTTAAGGGAAGAACATCCTCGCTGGATGGGGTTCCTTTATTTACTCATGTGTTTTTCATCATTGCCTTTTGAAGAATTCCTTTGCCCTCTTGACTATTTGAGGAAAGATCACGCCTCCAGCTTTGTTCATCAGCAGGA